CCAAGGACATGTAATTTATTCATGACGCATTCTCTGGCTGGGGCGCCCTGACACACAGGAGAGGGTGCTTTCTCCGTGTGGCACCCTGCTTTTATTTTAGAACACAGGATTTCAAATAAAAACTTAAGTGCTGAGGACCTGTCAGGAGGGCTCTGCCTCCAGCCGGGCCCCTTGCCGGCAGACGGCAGAATGGGCAGATGGCAGATCCACAGGGCCTGTTTACCCAGCACTGCCTGAATTCCAAAAACAAGAACCCTGTACCCTTGGGAAAACATTCCTAGGGGAGCTGATCCTGAATCTATGAGCTCTATGTTGTGAAAACTCCAATACAGAGGAAGCTCCCGGTTCAGAGAGAGTGTGAGAGGCTCGGGACACTCGTCCAGGTAGTATTTTTGAAATCATACCGAGTTTCATGATCTCAGCAGAAGTCGGGGACATGGACGATGGAAACATAGCTATAGAGCACAGGAAAACAAATAAATGTCACTTCATGTACCTTCTTCTGTGTGTGAAACAGGAAGACTCCTCCTCTGGGTTTCTCCCTGGCCCCTGCCTTCCGCACGATGACTAATCTCAAAGGCCACACTTTTGCAGAGCAGACAAAACCCCCAAACACCAACACTATCCTCACATCACCCAAAAGAGAGTAAAGGGGAAGATGGGTAGAAAACCAACTTCCTAAGGTGTCTAACCAGAAAAATATTCTTCATTACACACATTATACTTGTTTGGAACTCAAGAATACTGCTTACTTCTAAAAAGTCCTTTCTGGTTAAAAAAAAAAAAATAACAAGACACAGATAAAAATAAGAACAGATAGTCTCTGAAAAACAACAACAACAAAAAAAAAACAAAAAATCAGAATTGAATAACGCTAAACCTGAGTGGCCCTAAAAACAAATACACAAATAAACAAACCACTTGTTATTGATTATTAAGTCTGTTCCTCCACTTTTAAAATATTAAATGTTAGCAATCAATGAATCTTCTGGACAGACATGCAGCATGGGACCAAGGAAAGCTTTTACAGGAATAAATCTGCATGGAATACTTTGAATTAATGATAATTATGTAAGAACAGTATTTGACTGTAACAGTATATTATTACTGGGCTGGGGTTACAGCTCAGTGGCAGAGAGCTTGACTAGCATGCACAAAGCCATGGGTTCAACCCCAGTACCACCAAAAAAAGCCTATCATTTTTCCATGAGAGGACCAAAGCCAGCAACACATCACAGAATACTGAGGGAGACAGGAAGGAGAAAGAGCTTCCGAGAAGTGATAAAGAGCTAGCTATATTGCCTATCAGGAAGCAGTCAGATCCGAATACACGATGTCCGCAGGAGACAGCTCTGGATGCCTCAGAGGAAGTGTTACCCTGAAGGATAGACGGTATGGTTGCCACGGCTCATAGCTTCTCACCCAGGTCTCTGGTAGCTCCTGGATGAGCTGTTGCTCCAGTAAGCGGCCAGAATTTAGAATCACAAGTAAAAACCAAGAAAGTAACAGGAGGCAAATATTTTATTGTAATATGGACAGACAAGGTTTTAAATTGGCTTAGGTAATCTCCACTCAAGATCTGGGTGAGGCCAAGGGGTAAGGTTTTAGGTGAAAAGAATTCACTAAATTCTTGTCTGCTTTTTACACCATCACATTTTGCTCAGTGACAAGCTAGTTTTTTTAATTGGTCCAACACAAAGGATTCTCCATGCTATAACTCATGCAATACGATTGTCACTCGTGGTCATAAAGCAGTTTCAGAGCCACTTTCAAAGATCTCATAATGTCACTGGAAGTTTCTTTCCACTTAGAACAGTTTTATAAATTGTGGCACAGTGTCGCTCTTCTGTTTCATTATCATTTAGTAGGAGAAAGCAAATTTTATTGTGACACTGAATCTGAGGGATCGTGTGGGCTGTGGCTCTCTGACGTCATTAGGGTTGTCATGGCAGTCTGCCGTCCGACTGCACTGTACCCAGCGGTACCATTCGTCTCACAGAATTACCACTGGGAGGGAATCAGCTTCCATGCAGCAGGGTATTAGAGCTTATGGGTCCTTGTCCAATAAAGTCAGCCATCCCTCGATTAAGCTCTTTTTATTTCTTGACTACTTAATGTTTTCCTTATTATAACCAGCATTTTAATTCAGGATTCGGGTCTTCCAGCAGTTTTCCAAAAGGACAACTTTTGAAGTCAACACATTAATGACCACCTTCTCATCAGTCACCGTGAGCTCCCGGCTTGCAGAGAAAATCTATTTATACTCGTATAATGGCTATGGTACTTTTGTTCCATGGGTTGACAACCCAGGAGAGGCAGATAGCAGGGAAGCATCCTTCACGCCTCAAGAAGGGCTCCGTGGGTCGGCAGAGATAAAGGGAGAGCAGGAATTACGTGGTGCTGCATTTACTTGAGAAGACCTGTAAACCCATCTTTCTGCCTGAGAACAAGTCACATGTTAGGGAGGAGCACATTCTTTATTTTTAGAATTAAACTGAGCAGCTCTCTGGGGGATACAAGTTGCTGTTCTACAAAACCAACTACATACCAGCCCCACAAGGTAGGGAAGTTGTTTTAAACAAATTGAAAAACACCAGTCTTATTCCAGTGGAATTTGGCGTATGGTATTAAAGAAGCTTATGAAATTCAGCATGTATCTCAGGCGAGGGCGTTTCTGATCTAACTTTGTAAAGAATGATGGCTACTGGGTTCTGGTTGTGCCATTACTACCCAGTTAAAAAAATCCAAAGCCAAAGCCAAGACTGTGTGTGTGTGTGTGTGTGTGTGTGTGTGTGTGTGTGTGTGTGTATTTGTTTTCATCTTGGTTAAGAAGGGGGAACTCGAGGAGATAGACCCATCTTTGCTATGTCTGGGGACAAACTGGAAGGATCATTGGGTGATGGGAGCATAAGAACTGGCAAAAAGAACTGGCATAAGAGTTTTTCGTAATATTTTTATTACTACATATTTTGTTTTTTGTACTGATATGAACATACTATTCAAATTTTTTTTTTTTTTTTTTGGTCTTTTTGAGACAAGGTCTCACTATGCAGTTCAGGCTGACCTTAAGCTCACTTTGTAGCTCAGGCTGGCCTTGAACTTACAACAATCCTCCTGCCTCAGCCTCCCGAGCACTGGGACTCCAGGTATGTGCCACTACGTGCAGATCTACGAAAATTAAATCTATTAAAATAGAAAAATTAAATTGGGTCATTAGAAAAGCCAGAGACAAATCACACGAAGAAGTTACTGGCAGGTGGGTCGGGGAGACACACATCTGTAAACCCAGCACTGGTGAGGATGAGGCCATGAGTTCAAGGCCAGCCCAGACTACACAGTGAGTTTCAGGACAGCCTGGAATATGCAGCAAGACTTTGTCTCACTCGACTCCCAAAAAAGAACCTATTTCAGCTGGGCTTGATAGTTTATGCCTGTAATCTCAGCACTCTAAGAGGCTGAGGCAGGAGGACTACAAGTCTGAACCAGCCTGGGAAACCTAGCAATCTCCTATTTTAATAATAAAAAAGAGCTAGGGATGTAGCTCAGTCCAATGGCCTGGATTCATATCACAAAAAAAATTGATTGAGCTGACTTACATATATGATGATACATACATCTGTTAAATGTTAAGACTTGCTGAAAATGGGTGGTAGGCACCTAGGGCTGGTTGTATTGTTCTCTTGATGCCATTTTAGTAGGATTAGAATGTTTTCCCTCTCCACAAAAGGTAATCTGTAAACAACAACTTTGTTCCATCAAAACAATCTATTTTTAAACCAACGGCGAGTTAAAAAAAACGGAGGCCACATGCGGCAATCTGCACTAACTGCCTACTTATTAATTCCATTTCCAGTACGATTTCAATATTTACAACGATGAGGCGTGTAGATGAAATTCACACGGACACTGATGAAGCATCACACAGGCTGTGACTTCCAGTGAGACACTGATACAGAAAGCAGACATCTGCTCTCAAATTTATATTCCTGAACCCTGGAAACAACACCAGAGTGCGGTGACTTCCCACTTCTGGAAAACCTTTAATCAATGTCTTCTCTATTTCCCAGAGACTTCCTTCCTTTCGTGTTCTGTGAGGTAAATCCCTTAGCCCGAGCTGACTGGCTACCCTGAGGAATTGAGGCCCACAGGATGGCCCTGACCCATTTCTGTTCAGTACGAACCCTGTACGACCAGAGCAGACTGCGCCAGTCATCAGGGTAAGGGACGTTCTGGTGTTCAGCTCAACATGTCAGGGTTCCAGATGTTGGTAAATCATTAAAAGGGAATCTTGTAAGACAGACAGCAGAGGCGACGATCGATTTCTGGGCACCTCTTAACACCATACATATCTTATCCACATCACATTTCTAGCCTCTCTTCCAGGAAGGTGTTCAGTATGGGATTTCAGGTCTGCTGAACTTGACTTTGGGACCCAGCCAGGCCAACTGCGCCCTGCATTAGAGTTCAGTGGAGGTGCAACGTAATAAACCATCTCAACTATTCTAGTTGTGCCGTCTCAACTGCTTAGCATTTCAAAAGCGCTCTGTATGAGAGACAAACAGTATCCTTCACACACCCGATCTCTGGACTTGACAGTCACCCAGGGAGGTTGCTGCGATGGGTACCATTTTAACATCTGAGACTTAGGGAGTTCAAGTATCAAGCAAACTACTGAAGGTCATACAGGCCATTTATGGTGGAACCTATATTCTAATCTACATCGGCCTCATTCTGAAAAGTGTTTTTTTTTACTACAGCATGTGACTTCTGTATAACTTTTAGCTTTAGTAGTTGGGACAGTATGAAATAAATATAGTAATCATGTCAGACCCACAATTAGGCACCTGTAAGGGCATTTATAAAGACTTTCACACCCCCCTCCTCCAAATTTACTTTGTACAGTACTGCAAGGCTATTAAAAAGATAAATATTACATTTTCTTTTGTTTAAAAAAGGAAGTAAAATTAAATTATAACCTCAAAGAAATGCATAAATCTTACCACCTTCTTCAGGTTTCACGTCTAACAGTTCATCCATAGGTCCTTCAAGGGGAGGGAAAAGAAAATAAATTGTGAGTTAGTTTTATTTTGTAAGTTTGAGTCACATGATTTAAATTGAATAGCTTGCCTTAATCTAGCTTACCTGAGCATGCATTCTGGGTATAGCTTTTGTCTAAAGCAGATAAAATACTTTTTCCATCTTCAGCTGCAATATAACACAGGCAACGGGTTATCACCAACGCAGAATGTTTGCATGTTCACATACAGTTGCAGGGTAAGGGAAATGAACAGCTTTCGGAAGGAGCAGCATCCACAAACTCACTCATGCAGAAGCAGGAGTCCTCAGATTATTTCTTACTCCAGCTGTTGGCTCCCAGCAAATGCAGAATTCGTCCTGAATCTCTGCTTTGTTTGGTAGGTAACCGAGAAAATTCTATGACACAGGCCTAACAATTCTCCATCCGTGGACAAATGAGTGAGTTAAGTAATTGACTACCACTTGACGTTGGTAATGAACTTGAGCCATATGGGTCTGGTTGAAAGGAGCCAGATGACTACATGAAGAGGCCAATTTGAAAATGCTGTGTACTGTATGAGTCCCACAATATGACATTTTGGACAAGGCAAAAGTACAGAGACAGTGAAAACACCAGAGGCTGCCAAGGGCGTAGGGGGAGAGTGGGATGAATAAGTGGAATACAGAAAATATGTAAGGGAGTGAAAATATTTTGTATGTGACTGTAATGGCCGATACATGCCATTTAAAATTTAATATCCATAAAACATCTAACAGGAAGCGTCAAGCCTATGTAAACTATGGACTTCAGGAAGTAATGGTGTGTCAGTGTAGGTTCATTGACTAACAAATGTACCATTCTGGTAGCAAATGCTGACATTGGGAACGTCTATGTACTGTATAGGTGGGGACGGGGGCCGTGTGGGAAATCAGTACTTCATGCCTGTACTGTGAACCAAGAACTGCTCTAAACAGTAAAATTGCTTGTGTCTATGTGTGCACAGTGGTACAGTTTTGAAAGTTAGTTTGCACAAGTGTTCATCAGATTTTCTACGGGTCCCAGAATACAAAGGAGGTATCATTTCATTATACTGAATTCCACTCTGTGTATATATAAAACAAGGTGTCAGACACTGACAATGTCAAAATATTACACAAGTACCATGCACAATTAACACTGTCTGAGGCCAGAGAAAAACCTGCATAGTCGTGTATTGTATGGAGATAGAATCTAATAGGTTTGTTACCTGCACAGAGATACAATAAACTGGGCTTTACATTTTTCTGCAGAACTGAATTTATTCAATGACCTTGATTCCCACAATGTAAATGATTCATGCTACAGGTCCATGGAAAGACACTGGGGCTGGAGGGTTCAGATCGATGCAGAGAGCTCGTCCACAGACACCGAGATCAGGCCCAGCCTCAGCACCGCTTGCTGCCCCTGATGCTCTGGATATTGTTCTTCTGACCTTTGCCTGATCCTCCCTACCTCACAGCCTTTGTGCAGGCTGTGTCTCTTGTTTTGACATGTCTTACAATAACACTTCGCTTGAGCTGGTCCCCTGATCCCTTTAGACAGATAAGGCCTCTGTCACATGTGCTGAGAGCCCCGCACCTCTCCCTTGTGCTGTCATCAAAGCTGGAGCTGGCCAACCGTGTGACTCTTCGGCTGTCATCTGATTTCCCTGCAAGCCCCAACCTGAGAGGGTCTGGATGTGTCTGACTAGGTACAGAGGCAGCTCTCAGCAAACATCTGCTGAACAAATGCCCAAGTCCATGAATATGTGAGAGCACACGTGCATGAGGGGATGACAGGGAGCCAAGTGGTGGCGATGAATAGTAAGCTGTTTTGCTTTTTCTGAAAGGCAGACAGCAGACACGCAAATGTATAACAAGGAAGTAGGTGAGGCAAGTGTTTGGAAAAGCAGGAAGTTGGCAGCAAGAGAAAGGGTAAAGGACAGAATGGAGCACAGGAAAATTTTAGGATCTGCTTTGACCCCTGCTGTCTTTGATAAAGGCTGTCCTAGGGCAGGGCAAGGCAGGTGAGAGGTTAGTATGTCCCCAGCACAGCCTGCTGAACACAGGCCTGGTGATGCTAGTTCTCTTCAGAACACCTAGAAATTATTCCCCTGCATCGCAAAGCATTATGAGTGCCAGTGAGAGAAAGGCTCCCCGTTACATCACAGCGCTTCTACCATTATTTTCCATGCCCTCTACCCCATATGAGGCGAAGAGCCAATTAACAAAATCAAACTGGCCAAGATGCATGATGCAGAAATAGCTGAGAGCCCTTCATTATACACTGTGTCATCTCCCAGTGGCCTGACTCTTTTTCCTAAGACGTCAGGTTCAGATCACCTGAGGGACACGGTGTCACTCACTACAGCCAGCCTAGAAGAACAAGGTCTGAATTCCCCTCATCTGTCCTTAACAATGACCAACACATACTCACAAATCACGAAACACCAATCCCTCCGGATGCAATAACATCACCTTAACAAGACTATTCTCAGAGCCCACCTGGCAGGTAGAACCAAGAAAGGCAATAGCAGAAATTGTTTTATCTCTTGTGGAAAGAACTTGCTTTCTGCTGGGTCCCATTTGTGGCTGCTCCTTGGAAGGGCTGCCTTCCAAGGATTTCATTTTCTGGTTCAAAATATGTAGCATCTCTCAGTGATGCAACAGGGTTGACATTATTGATATTTGGACACTTAGAATCAAAACAGAAAGCAAATTAATGTATTTTTTTCTTGACTGGCAAAGAAGAAAGGTCTAGAGGAGTTTGGCAAAGAAGAAAAAGAGCTGGGTGTTGAGTGCTTACTGGCATTTCAGAAGCAATTTTACATGAAAGTCAAAACTTACTATTAAAACTGGAGGATTCCTTGCACTGGTTTTCATCTTCTAATGAAATTAATCTTAAAATTAAAAAAAGTTGAGTCATTACATTCTGCATATGCTGTATTTATGATACAGATTTTCAGTACAATACCTATTACTTCAATTATAACCCCCCCACACACATCACAAACATGAAATGAAAGGTCATTTACATGTTAAGACATTTTCTGAAGGGGGAAAAATGCTGGCTTTCTCTTCCATTTTGTATCATCTTTATAACTGAGTCTTGTTTCATCGTAAGGAACATATTCTATAAGTATTAAGATGGGCAGTTAAGGATAGCTTGGATACATATGTATAGTTATTCTATGTTTCCCCAAAAATAAGACCCAACTGGAAGATAAGCCCTAGCTAGTTGTCACCATGGTGATGGCCGGTGTCATGGAGATTATACTTCACCATTCTCTGGCTCAATAGCTACTCTGTAATGGCAGATAAAACAAGGACAGGTAGGTAAGGGGTGGCACATTTGATCTCTAGCTTCCAAGGCTGTTTGATTTTATTTTTGGGGAAACAGTATCAATAAAAAACCACTGGCTGAATGGTGGTTTATTGATTCTTGGTGTTGCCAAAGAGATGAGCTCATTTACAAAGGGTTAAAGCCAGATCACTGTCAGATCCAGGTGGACAGTCCCCTACTCAAACTCTTCTCGTGTCTTAAAGACAGACCCTTCACCACGGTGAGTCTCAGCTGGTGTCTGAGCATCCCCCTCACTCCATGGATCACTTTCAGCTGCTACTTCTGACCATGGTTCTTCTCATTTTCCATTGTCCTTTCAAACAGTGACTGGATTATACTTTGTGAGCTTTTAAAACTGAACTAGTGAACTATTTAAGACACTGGAAATCAATCAAAAGAAATTAAGAGAATCTTTGGTGGTGTACCAGCACTTGGACTGCATTAACTGACACGGTGAAAGGAGGAGCTGGGGGCTCGATCCTCTCACTCGCGGGGCCATGAGCATTCCCTCAGCCACTCTGAGCCTCACCCCCATTAAAATTAAACAGAGATCACATCAGCAGCAGACATTTCTATCAGAAGAAAAATCTGAAATTTTATTTAGAAATACAGTAGAAAATAGAAGCTGGTTTTACCATAAAAATTGTCATCTGAAGTTTTTTTTTGTGTTTAAAAGGAACCGTGAACGGAAACAAGGTCATCTTTGCTTCCCCTGGCCAGCCAGTTCAGACTGCATTCCTATGGGCTTTTCTGTCTCCCTAGCACCTGACCCTGATTCCCATGCTGGGCCACATACGTTGAAAAGTCTCTCTCAGTACAGTGATGGAGGCGCCTGGTGTGTGCAGAGCTAAGAAATTGAGATGGGCAGTCACTTCTTGCTCTCAACGCTGAGCAAGCTTCAAAAAACCAAAAGTCCGAACAGTGAAAATGAAATGTCACAGCCCAATACTTTTGCAGGACGATTCCTCAGTGTTATGAGTGCAGTACCAAGGTCATTTTGGAAGTCATCAGCTTTTATGAGACAAAAGCCTGGGAGACTTCCTGTCCAGCACAGCACATTGTGGATGCTGCTGAGAACGGGGCCAAGTAGGGCCAACAACCAGAGAGAACGCACAGCTAGGGATGAGGCTGCAGGACAGACAGGGAGGCAGCCCTTTCCTGCCCAGCCAGCCTCTCAAAGGTGGGCCCCTCCACGGACCCTAGAGGTGGGTCGTCTACTGGGCTAGAGGAGGCAGGGGCTAGCAGGAACATGGGCTGACAGGCCTGGTCTTAACATTCATGTACCTACTCTGAGGTGTGAGGGAGTGAGACGGCAGCTCTACTTGGGACCTCAGGGGCTGGGATAGCAGGGACCATGGTGCGCTCACCTGTTGGCAGGGAGACTGTGTCAGAGAAGGGGGCTGGGACTTACTGACTTGGCTCCTGGCCTGCTGCCTCTATGCTATCCTGCTGGGTCATCTTCTTCTTCTTCTTCTCTTCTTTCTCAACCAGCTTTTTCATAGGGTCTTGTAAGCTCTTGATCACATGCCATAGACAAGGAAAAAAAAAAAAAAAGAAAATGTAAAGGAAAGAAAAAGAGAAAAAAAAAGTCATCAGTTAAAAAATTCAACTGCATTGGTCCCAGCAACCAAACCTTGAATCAGAGGTACTGGGTTGTTAACCTAAACCAATCAAGTGGAGGAAAGTGAAAGCCAGAATGGCACGGCACCGACATTTTTAGCTCCAGCTAAAAAACAAGAGTCCCAGCTTGTAAAGGAGACTTGACTTGCCAGTAGATTTATGTTTCTCTTTTTGTGATAAGTTATTCAAGAGGAGGCCTTTTAGCTACTGCTAACTTTTTTTCCAACTTCAACGCGCAGCTAAGATAAACATTCTGTTCTGCTTGCAGCCCACATGCTGACAGAGTGGAAGCTTCCCCCGCTGCCACTACCAAAGATGAGACAATTTCATTTTATTTTTAATCTTGTTTGCCATTTTGCAATCTAAAAACTGCTTTAAAAAAATAACAGAAAACAAAACCTTTTTTTAAAAACCCAAAATAGTGTCTTAACATATTCTGACAACTTAACTCCCACGAACAGACAGAGCAGGTGTGTCCAAATCTTTGTAGCTTAAACATGGCCATGGGTTTATCTGGGGCTTGTTTGCACATCGTTTGTTGGAGTTACTCTTTTTCAAGGTTTATTAAATATTTAAGGAAAGATTTTTTTTTTTTAATCCAAGCGCCTACAAGCTGTACACCAGTGCCAAAGACCCCAAAAGGAAAAGCAACACTTAACAACTGAGTAAGAATCATACAAAAATATCTATTTCTGGTCCTAATTAAAATATAAAACTATGAATGGAAAATAAAGATCTCAAGACGCTAGTCCTTTTTTATCTTCTTAGAACTACTAATGCCCAGGTTCTCATCCTTCAGAGCCTCAGGACCCCTCTGTCCTCCTCCTTTCCCGTTCCGTCTCCAGTGTGACATGCGCAGAGGAGGCAGGTGGTGTCATGGCCGACTCAGATTGATTAGAAATGGCGGCTGGGAGGACTGGCGGAAGAGCGCGTGAAGGCTGTGTCCATGCAGAGCAGCACCATGACTGATTTTTGGAATCTGCCATCGACCCCAGATAGATACCAGTGTTACATCCCCAACTGCAAGCTCTGTTTTACTCTGTACAAAGTGATTTTCCTAGAATACCCTTGCATTGTGTTTTCTTCTCCCTCAAGAACTTACAATAGTGGGACAGAGAGAAGGGAGAGGGGATGAGAAGGAATGAAGATGTGTTATGTACATGTCCCCACTCCACTCCGTGAGGGTAATCATTCTGTACTGCGAATGTGTAGTAAGAAAAATATAAATTAAAAGAAGAACTTACAGTAGTAGCTCCTTATTTCTTTCCACTGCTAGCCTACAAACCTCTCTGCCTGATTTTAAAGATCTTCTAAAATGTGAGCCTGCCTTAACTCTCCCCGCTGTCTTCTCACCATCCCTTAAACATGAGCTTTCCATTCTATTACACCTGTCTCCGTGCAGTCTCTGGTCCACTTCTTGCTTCCTTCCTACCTTGGTTCATTCTATTTGTCCAAAGTCCTAAGAGTCTTTCTGAAAGCCCAGATCAATAACCACTATTTTCTGTAGAGCTTTACTAAGCATGCCAAATTCAAGAAAGTCCTTCCAACTCCAAAATGCATTTATAGCCTTATTAATATTTAATCACATCTATTCTGTTTTGTTTTTTTCTCTTAAAATATTTTTTTAAAATCAGAAGTAATATTACCATTTATGTAAGGTTTGGAAAACTTACTCATAATTCAATTCCTCTAAAATGATGAGTTATTATTTTCTTAAACTTTATACTCATACTACTTCTCTAACTGAAGTCACTGTATCTCTATAGAGCACATGTCTTGTTACTAATATAATTTATGTAGGTATTCACAATCAGAAAGTTTATTAGAATGTCTTTATATAAAAGTGCATTTGCTCACCAATATTCAAATATAGGATTAAGGTCTTCTCTTGGAGTAAATGCCCTCTAAGTGGAGCTCTGAAATACTGTATCTTCTTGCATACAGCACAGCTGTAAGGCACTGCCATCATTTTTAGTAACTGCTACTTCTAAACATTTAAATCAATACACTCATTCAAGAAATAGTTTTTGAGCACCTTCCAAGGGCTTGGTGCTGGTTTTGGTGTTCTGGATACGCTATGAAGTAAGACAGAATTATCAGCTAGCGATCAGCCTAGGCAGATAATTAAAAGAGAAGGATGGGAAGTGACTGGGTCATTACTTCAGTGAGTAGGATCTGCTGTCCTGGAAGTGACATCTCATCTAAGAGCTAATGAGAAGAAGGAGTCAGCCCTGTGCAGCTTAGAGAGAAGAGTCCCTGAGAGCAAAGGCCCAAAGGTGAGGCTGACTTGGCTCGTTTAAGGAACAGAAAGGGTGCCTCTGGGGCTTCAGTGTAGCTGGCAAGAGTACAAGTACCGTGAGACCAGGAGGAAGAGGCAGCAGGGTCCCACAAGGAGAGCATTCCTGTACTCAGACCCATCAGTTGTGAACATTTGCTCCCATTTGTTTGACCAAATCCTTTTGCTTTGTTAGTCTCTCCAGTACCTGACGACTAAACGCAATATGTGATCCTTGACGACAGTCTGGACTGGAATGGAAAATGCTAATACGAACAGAGTCAGAACAAATGGACAGTGGATATGGGCTGTGGTCTAGTGGTCATGATTTTTTTTTAATATACCTCAGAGCGTCCAGTAAAAGCAGTGTGTGCAAGAGTGTGAGTGTGTGTGTGTGTGTAAAGTGCTCTGATTGGCAGATCTATTGAAAAGAATATGCCGTTGACATCTGAAAAACTTCTGATCATGATCACTCATTTCCAGAAAACATACACACACACACACACACACACACACACACACACACACCCCTTACAGTAGGTTTATTCCTTTACAGAATAGTCAACTCTGGTTACAGTGAAACCAGGAGTATTTTTAGCCAAAGTTCTGATGGCTCCCAAGACTCACTTTTAGATTCTGAGACGCTTGCCCAGGCCTCTGGTTCGCTCAATTATCTCCTCATTGTGTTTCCTTCTTATCAATCAATGCTATGCAGGGCCAGGACACGTCAGCTTCAGACGCAGTGTTGCGCTGCCACAGCCCCTGCCTAAACCCCCGAGATGCCCTTGACAGCTCCACGGTTATCATCGCCTCTGTCTCCAGCCTGACCTCCCCTCCTGACCACACTTGAGCAGCTCTCAGACAATCTCTTTGTAATGTAAACCATTCATTCCTTCTTTTCAACTCCTTCCCCTGTTGGGCCATTAGCAGGGACGTGATTGTCGGCTCCCTGTCACCACAATCACAGTTAGGACACTATTGTGCTTTCCACACAGAATGACGGCACTGCCAGTTTCAACTTTAATTTATTATTAATAATTCCTGTGACAGTTCTGCCGTACTCCCTACATCACTACTGTCAGTGTAACAATTTGGCTTCTGCAGCTGTGAGAGGGGTTAACTTGCGCTTGTTGGTTGGTAAATGAAAGCACATACGATTAAACTGATAAGAATTAGATCACTTTAGCGAGGAGACTTAAAGGCTCAGGGGAATACCATGAAAAAATTTAGAAGACCGCAAGCACAATTAATACGATCAAATGGGCTTCTTTATTAAATATTGGTACCGGGACCCAAGGGGAATCTCATGAATACACACACATACACGCACACACACACATGCACTTTTTGTACATAAGCACACACGCATCCATAGATAACACCAGCCTAACTGAAACATAATTGTTATACCATAGATGCTGGACATCTTAAAATTATACAGTGCTTTACAGTGCTATATAGTGCTTTACAGTATATTCACAGAGTTGTTCAACCATCTCATAATCAATTTTAGAACATTTTCAAGGGGTATCTCTTGAAGCAAGAAAGAGTTTTTAGATTAACTAAGCTAAATACTCTTTCTATATAGCAAGGAAAAAAGCAAAACCACATACAGAACTTGTTTTGTATAGAAGACTATATACACTGACACTGTTGCTGGGTGTGACTGTCAGATACACAACATTCTGGAGGATGGAGCGCATTCTCCCCAAGGTTTGGTGACAAAGCCTCAACCTAGGGGAAGGAGGTGGAAATGAATTCTTCAAGTTGTTTTTTGAAGTCCACCACTAACCGTCCAGCATCCCTACAGGTCAGGGAAGACAGCATTTTCTGTGGGACACAAACAAGTGCTCAGGGAAAAGAACAGAAGCGGTTCAGGTTCAGCTGACTGCGGGCAGATGAAGCAGCCATCAGACGGAAGTGTTTCCAAACCCCGGCCGATGGAAGCCACATTGAAATCCACATCCAGAAATAAGAATCCAGGAAATTCCATTTCTAAATCTCAAACCCAATAGTCCTTCATTAAAATTAGTTATGAAAAGTATTGTGTATTAGCAGCACGCAGCATCAGACAATCTTGAAAGGTTCTCTGCAGAGGGAGGAATGCTTTCTGGTCAGCTTTCTCTGGTAAGGCTGCACTAACATGCTAATAGTTTCCACCAATACTTAAACAGTTTCAGGAAGCACATGCATAACATATAAGATCAGCGTGACGGGGGGAATGTGCAGACCCAGCTTGCAAAAGTGTCTTAGAAAGGAAACAGCTTAATATAATAATGGGAGTTACTACTTCCTGCATTAGGAAAATAAAAGCAACAGCAACATTCATCTGAATGAAAGCAAAAGCACGCAGCAAAACAAATTTCCCAGACAAAAGGCCGGCAGCCAGTTCTAATAACCTACATTTGAGGTCTAACTGAGACAGCTAAGACACATTTCCTCTCCACTTTAATTATGACAATTAATTTTCTTTTGCTCTTTCCCATTAATTACACCATACACATTTGAAGGTGTTAAATAATTGTCAATAAAAGGAAATAAAAGTGCTCAACATAGTGGGCATGGTTAAAAGATGCTGAGCCCGGTTGTGTGTGTGTGTGTATGTGTGCGTGTGTGTGTA